GGACCTGGGCTAGGACTGGGTCTGGGGGCTCCCGGAACTCGGCAGAAAATCCTACTTGGCGGGCGGGCGGGGTGGGGGAGGCACTGCGGAGTGGTGGGGGGGGCCCAAGGGGCTGGGAGAGGGTCCGGCCCACTCTGCGCCTGGGCTGGAACTGGTCCCGCGGGCGCAGGGTAGCAGGAAGCTCTCCGCATACTTAGCGGACCTGGGCTAGGACTAGGTTTTCTCTTTTTCATAGAAGAAAGAATAAGACAGGTGCACTGATACAGGCCAGGCAGTCCACAGTTACGGGATTTGCTGTTTTCTCAAAATTGACTGGAATTATTTTAGAGCTTTGAAACCTTTAGGAAACACACTAATGGCAATACTAACAATGTTGTTAATATAAAGTATCAAATTTGAGTGGAAATAAGTAGAGTGGGGAGTGTCCAGTTTAAAAGACAAATAGTCTAAATTGAACTAGATGAAACTATAGTCTCTTTTTTGTGTATGCATGCTGCATGTTGATAGTTATCAAGCATTTCTTTTGGAAGCTTAATCTGTTGACATGAAGCAGATTATATCCTCAGGATAATGAAAATATGCCAGGTTAATGGAGTTTTTTCCTCCTAAAATTTTATGTTGTTGGCAAAGGGATTTTTAAGTCTAGCTTTTAATTGAAACATGTAAATATTTATTCTAGACTAGTCTTCACAAACTAGTCTTTGTTGGGCATAATTCTGTTTATCTGCTTTTATATTGTCATGCAAAATATTTTTCACAAATTTTGTTAATATTTTAGCATTGAAGTTTTTGTTTTGTCAGAACTGGGGATTGAACTCAGGCCCTTGCATTTGCCAGGGAAGTGCTTATTCCACTGAGCCATCTCCCCAGCCTAGCATTGAAGTTTTTAATTGAAGCTTCTTGTATATTTGGTGTAGGGTATTTTAGTTTTTTTTAGAATGTTACTTGTTACATTTCTATTATTGCTATTTTAGTAGTAAGTAGAATTCCTCAAATGAATTACAACATAATATAGCCCTTAATCCCTTTTATGATTCAAAGTCTTAAGAGACCGTTTATCTTAAACAAGAGATATGCTTGTCCACTTTCCCTGGGAGTCCTCCACAGACTCTGAGTAGATGAGGCAGGTGGGGATACAAAGCACTGGTTGCTCGAGTGGCCGTGTAGATCTTAGGCCAAGGTTGACAGAGAAGCAGTGGCGTAGGAGAGGGGTAACGGAAGCAGTTGGATGAGCCAGAGAAGCCTGAAAGGACATTTTGGTGAGCGTGACAGTGAATTTTCCCATTAAGGCAGGAATCCCCAGAGGTTGGCTAGGTGGGGCCCTGTTCACCCCTACTTCCTTACCATGAAAAATCCCATTGTTAGAAATTGTGTGTTTTTAAACTTTTATTTACTTTGAATACTAAGAGTAAAGGCATCCTGTTTTCACTTTAAGTTCTTGAAGTCAAAAACTATGTTCAACAAAACAGAGGCCGGAAATTCAACTCAAATTCAACTCAGCCACACGGGCTGTTTTGCTTTGTTCCCACAATGACTTCTATAGTTGTTGGTGTTGTCCTGCTCCAGCACCTGAGGTGGGCCCTAAATCAGCAGTGTCTGATGGTCCCTGGGAGAACCTTAGCAGTTCCAAGTTCTGCTCTGATATTTTCTCAGTTTCGCAAGCAGTTTACTTTTCAATTTAATTTGGAAGCAGTTTAATAATTTCCCTAGTATATATTCTCCCAGGGACTCTGACTGAACCTTTTTCCTGTAGCTCCTGTGTTTGAGCCCAGCATCTTGCACATACTAAACAAGCACTCTGCTGTATCCTCAGCACTGCCTGATCCATTTACAGTGTCTGTCTCAATGGCGAAAACTAATTATTTGACTGTAAATAACATTTAATAGTATGTAAAAACATTTATGTCTAGTTGAAACTCTTAGTTTTGTTTTTCTCTTTGAACAGATCATTGTTACCGTCATTCTGGCACTGGTTATAGGTGCCCTTTACTACAAGCTAGAATACAACAATGCTGGAATCCAGAATAGGTGAGTCAGTTTTGAGAGAATGCTGTTACTTTGTTGAAGCTTATAGCGAAATTAAGAATTAAGAATTAGAATGAAAGATAACTGCAGGATAAATGTTACTGGTTTGTTGTGGGGTAGGATAAGTCATTGAATGGAAAACTGGATAGAATAGTTCATTTTCTTTTATATATATATATATTTGTATTTATTTACATATATATATATTTACATATGTGCACTGATTAACTATTCAGAACATAAAATTGACCTTGTAATCATTTTTAAATGTATAGTTTTTTGGCCTTAAGTATATTCACATTGTTGTACGTCGCTAACATCTAACTCCAGAATTTTTTTTCAGTCTTCCTAAATCAAATTGCCATAAAATTACATTAAAGTAATTAACATGAAAGAACAATCCTGTGTCTCTAAATTTGACTACAGTAGGGACCAGATCTATGTGGAGTCATAGGTGAATATCATGACACCTTGCCCTTAGCATAAGATGTTCATGGTTCATTTGTATTAGTATGTGGCTTCCAGCTCTTGGCTATTGTGAACTTATGTTACTATGTGTCTAGAAATTCTGTTTGAATCCCTGCTTTCGGTCCTTTGGGATTAGTGAAGTAAAGTTGCTGACTGACACAGGAATTGCGTTGGTTTTTGAGGCACTGCCCCTCCCGTCTACAGTGTCTGCGTCATTTTCTATTCTGACCACGGCACATAAGGGCACCTGGTGCTCCGCTTATATGGAATGTTTATTTCTTATCATATTGATCATCTGAAAACCTATGCTGTGATTCTGCATGATGTCTTTTTACTTTGCAGAGCACAGACATTGTTAATTTGATGATCACTTTGTCTTTTCCTGTTGCTTACAAGATAATTTCCTTTATACATTTTGATTTTTACTTTTCAGGATAAAATGAGTAGCAGTAACTGAGAAACTGGGTTTGAATCATGTGTAAATTATGAGCTCCTTTGACTTAATAGATTTATCACTTGGCTTATGGTGATAGCTGAACAAACTGGGGAAAATATAGTTTTAAAGATGTTTGGATCTAGCAATCCTTCTTGTGGACATTTTTGAAAGAATTTGAAATCAGTTTGTTAGCACTCCCATGTTCATTGCATCACTGTTCATAGCCAAGATATGAAATCAATATCATTGCTCATGAGCAAATGAATATATAAAAAAATATAGTGTTGTATATACTGTGGAATACTGTTGAGCCATAAAAAGAAAGATCAACAAGATAGAGTTAAAGAACATTACATTAAGTAAAATAACCCAGACACAGAAAGATAGATGCCACATGTTCTTGCCTAAATGAAACATGTGAAACAATTTTCAGTCTTAAAAGCAAAAAGTAAATAGTAGTTGCTGGAGACGGAGGAGAGTAGAGAATATGCTGATGATGGTCAAGGGTATGAAGTCTTAGACAAGGAGGCATTAGTTTTTTTCTTAGAGATACATTTTACACTTTGGAGATGGCAGCAAATAATATATTGTAGGGCTGAGGATATAGCTCAGTGGTACAAATACCTGCCTGGCAAGTGCAGGGTCCTGAGTGTTCAATTATCAGTATACTCCCCTATAACAGTACTGTGTATTTCTAAATTATCGAATGTAAATTTCAGATGTTCTCACCATAAAATGTGGAGGTAACATTTGAAGTAATAATTATCCTTGAATTGGTCAAATTTATTTCACATTGTATTCACAAATCATAATATCCCTTTATGTTGCATAATTATAAAACCATAAGTTGCCCATTTATAGTTTAAAAGTGTTTTATAAATCAAACTAATAAGTAGATATGATGGATGTGGGTCCACCTTGGTAAGAATTAGAATGCATCACATTCTTTCATAATAAGAACCATTTAGTATAAAATAAATCACTTTATGATTTAGGAGGAACTTTACTGTTCATTTGTTTAGAATCTTTATGAACATTACTGTGCTGTTAGAGGTAAGACAAAAAAAGACAAAAAAATTTCCTGTGTTTCTGCAATTAGCTTTATGTTGACAGTAAATTTATTTCTGTAGGTAAATTTCATAGCTCCTTGCCTATTAGGCACGATGGCTTTCATTTTAATAATTGGTTAAATATTTAGATTTAAAGCAGCTCATGCCCTTCCTTATTCATTTTTTTAGGTATTAAAGAATTATCAAATGTCTGTGGATAGATGGGAATGCTCACTTAGGTTTACATTTTTAAGAAATATTATTTTGTTTTGATGTCATTTAAATAACATCCTCTCTTTCTATTCCAAGTAATGTCCTCCTTGTGAATTAAACTGTTTGGTTATGAAGGGAGTTGTCCCTGCTCCATTCTTTTATAAAGCATATAGATAAACTGTACTTTCCTTTTTAAATCTTTTTTAATTTTTTTATTGGGAAATAAACATCAAGTCTTATTTTTCATGTGGATGCACAAATTAATTTATACTTTATAATTAAGCCTTGCTTTATTTTCCTTTTGGAGCTCTTTAGAAGCCATGTAGAGAGTGAGTTGTCCAGTGTGAGGTTCAATCATGAAGGCTTTCCTGATGGGAGTGTAGTCGATGCCTGTAATACGGTGCCTGTAAGGGCCCCCTCTTCTGTCTTTCATTTCCTTGCTTTCTTACTTCTTTATTCTGTTTTAAAACCAGTGTGGATAATTAAATGTTTTTGACTTAATTTAGCTTACTGTTTTTCTCTGTTTAGACTTTAGGAATGATACCTGGCATTTTCATTGATTAAATGGAACATGATGGAATCTTTGTGGCCAGTGTATCAATATGGATAAAATACTTTAGGCTGAACAGCTTAAAGCACAGAAGTTATGGTCCATTAATTCTGTAGTCTGGGGTCAGGCTCCTGTGAGGGCTCCAACCCACAGGACACAGATACTCTATGTCCTCTCTTGGCAAAGGTTGTCTGGTTTCTCCCTCTTGTAAGGGCACTCAGTAATCCTAATTTGGGGGCTCTGTTCTCCTGACCTCATATACCTTATTATATCCCAAAGTCTCCATTACCAAGTAACATTATTCTGGAAGTTCAGGCTTCAATGTATGATTTCTAGGATGTTATTATTATTTTTACTTTCCTGAGGGAAGGTCTCGCTATGTAGTTCAGTCCAGCCTTGAACTCACTATGTGTCCCAGGCTGGCCTTGAACTCACAGTGATCCTCCAGCCTCAGCCTCCCAAGTGCTAGGAATACAGGCATGTACCATCCCAGCTGACTCAGCATATGATTTTTAGGGTAACACAGTTTGGTGTGCAATAATGTGAGGGTGTGATTTCAAAATGTGCTGTACTATGGACTGAAGGGGGTCCCACTATGGAGACAGAGAGACAGAAAAGAGACCTGACAGGGTTATGATATCCTCCCTTCCTGTTTTAGCCAGAACAGTTTTACTTTTTTTAAGCTATTAAGTCTGTTGAATGTTATATAATTTATGGAAAGAATTCTGTGAGTAGGAAACTGCCCTATGTGTTGAACTGACTGTGACTGTGGGGCTTTGTTCCCGTTCTTTCCTGGCAGAGCTGGCGTGCTGTTCTTCCTGACAACCAACCAGTGTTTCAGCAGTGTGTCTGCCGTGGAGCTGTTTGTAGTGGAGAAGAAGCTCTTCACGTGAGCTCCGTCTTGTTCTGGAAGGGCGTCAGGGGCTGATGGGTCAAAGATGCCATCCCAGGGATTATTAGTATTTTTATTTTATTTTTTGGTTTCTTAAGTGGATATGTATACATATGAATTATACATATTTTTGATGAGCTTTTGAGGTATGTGTGAAGATGAACAATATAGTAGTTGAGAGAAGGCAGTCATGGGCGGGGTGGAAAGTCAAGAGCATGGGAGGCCTGCTATCAAGAGATAAGGATGTCAAGGTCAGCAAAATCCCAGTGCTGCAGAGTCAGCAACAATAAAGAAGCTAAAAATTCTGTTTTAAAATTTTAATAAGTAATAGATCATGATGACCCTTATAAGACAAGTTGGAGGGACCAAGGCGAATTCAGCCAGTTGGAGGTGAGTGGTTAAATTGACAAAGAATATGACCAAGAGTAGCCACAGGTGGTTGGAGGAGTGGAAAGAGCTGGAAGGCAGCTTTACAGTAAAAGAGCAGGCATGTTGTTTCTTTTGCTTTTCAACCATGGAAATGGCTTGCCCATGTTTACATGCCAAAGAAAGGAATCATCAGAGCATGAAGGAATGAAGATACTGATGGACTAGATTGGCATTATGAGAGCAGTGTTAGGAAAAAGAGCACCATTTGATGGGGACAGTTGTGTGCTTAGAGGTGTATCACTGAAAGAAGGCCTTTTTCTTTTTTTCCTTCTACCTTCTTTCATTCCTTCCTTTTGACAGTAGAATAGAAGAAATAGAGTATACTGATCTGAAGCTGCATTGTCGGCCTTGGAACATAACATCATCCCTTAGCAGTCAGAAGTAGAGAGAAGAAAATCCTCCATAACTAGTGAGAAGTTAGTTCTTAAAACACTGTCCTTCAGAGAAAGCATGACTAATGTGAAGCGGGGTCTCTGAGGAGGGAGATCACTGCACTTCTGGGAAGATGGCTATGGGTCAGTGTGGATGGCCGCTGGAAGGAGTTCTGTAGGGAGAGAGGCTCACAGTGAGCCTCCTGGCACTGACTATCCAGAGGGGTTGGTGCTTGAGAGGGTGAAGGGTGTGGAGGATGGGCAGCTGGGTGATTGTGGGAAGCTGGTGGGTTCTGCCCCAGGTGGCAGCAGAAATCTGTACAGCAAGCAGCTCATCTATTTTTGCCTTTTGAAACTCATCTAAGATCTATGATGTGTTTTTCTCTTCTATAGGCACGAGTATATCAGTGGATATTACAGAGTGGCATCTTATTTCTTTGCAAAATTATTTTCTGATATGCTCCCAATGAGGTTACTGCCAAGTGTTATATTTACTTGTATTGTGTACTTCATGTTAGGTAAGTAACAAGACAGAGGGGATGTATCTTTAGCTTTGGTTATGAGGTGCAACACTTTCTCTGTATTTTATTTGTATCTCTATGGCGATATGGAGAGAGATATGTAGACAGATAAAATGCAGTATATGCACATATACTATTTTCTACCTATTCCCTAACATACATACTTCCTAACATACATAAGGAAGTATGTTCTAACTGGGTTTATTTACCTGTTTGATAGATGTAGACATATTCTCATCTTCTTTTAAATTTTAAATAGAAAAAGAACAAAAACAATGATACATAATTTCAAAATGGTATAATAGAAAATTAACAGTGGTTAATGAATTGTGTATTTTTATTGTGAAAATAATTGCTCAGATTGCAGATATAGATGTGCAGGATTGATCAAACAATATAAGCACAAACTGTTCCTTTCAATTAACTGAAAGAAATTAGTAGTACAGCTATCTTAGTTATCTTTTCTATTGCTTTTGCCTTCTTTTCTTCTTCCCCTTCTATAATATCTATTGTAGATTTTTTTCTAATGAAATGAGTAAAATTTATTTATTGATTTTTTTTCAAATTCTAAGGAGGGCATGCTTATCCATGGATATTTATATTATCAATATATTTACATGTGTTTGAATAAAAATCAAGAAAAAAATTACTAAATCTAAGTACAGAAACAGAAAAACTTCAGAGACACTTCTTCACATATTAAGCCATCATTGTTCAGATATACAAATAGTCCTAATTGAGGTTGTCTGCTCAAGCCAATAATGTAATTAGGATCTATTATAGATTTTGGATTTTATTTACTCTGCTTAGTCTTCATCTCAGGCTTACTGCACCAGAATTTCCATTTATTACTGATACAAAAACATCAGACAGGATACTATGGAAAAGGCTACTAGTTGAGTTTTATCTTCTATTTTACTAATGAGGTATGTCATAAAGAATTAGTCATGGAATCTAGACCTGCACACTCTTGATCAGTATTCTTATACCTGTTCCCAGATCTTAAGACTCTACCTGTGGCAGTAGTGATGGGATCCTGACCCCAGGCTCTTCACTAGTACAGACATAGCAAATTGGAGTGCTGTGCAGATGTCTACGAAAGTGAATAGCCATGGATGCATTTTTTTTTAGAAGAGAAGACAGTAGAATTCTGGCCCATTGTGTTGCCTAAGAGCTTTGTACCTCAGAAATTCAGAAATTGAAATTGTACAGATAGGAGGACAGGTGTTACAGAATTTGTTTTGCAGTAAGTGTAAAAAACTAAACTATTATAACTTCATGCAGTTACATGGAAGGAAAATATGAAATTGGTGACTCAGGGTAGTTGGATAGGGAGTGACCCAAATATAGGTGACTTAGGCAGCTGAACTGATCCTTTCTTTTCTTTGTAGGATTGAAACCAACGGCAGCGGCTTTCTTCACAATGATGTTTACCCTGATGCTGGTGGCTTACACAGCCAGTTCCATGGCACTGGCCATAGCAGCAGGTCAGAGTGTGGTCTCTGTAGCGACACTTCTCATGACCATAACTTTTGTGTTTATGATGGTGAGTATGAAGTGTGTTTCCCTAAATTGTTTTCCTATGTCTTGACATTCATCTGGCCTGTAAAGAAGATTCTGTATATAGGACTTTGATGCTTTCAAGAGGCCATAAGACTTCAGTATAGTATATATTAGAGAATGTAATATTTTCTTCTTCCTCATGCTATCCAGCCTTCTTCCTCACACTATGAAGCCATTTCTGCTCATGCTTCATGTAATTAGTATAACTGTGTTAATAAAACCCAATAATGAATTTTTAGATACTTTTTTTTTTTTGTGGAACCGGGGATTGAACTCAGGCCCTTGTGTGTGCCAGGCAAATGCTTATTCTACTGAACCATCTCTCAGGCCCTGATACTTTCTGATGACGTTGTGTGTTGACAAATTAGAACTTCCAAAGCCAATTTTGGTTCACTGATTCCTTTATAAAAATGTCAGGTGATTTGCCTGCCATTTATGCTGGCAATAGAGAACTGCTGGTTCTTTAACCACCACAGAGATAACGTGGTTGGAGGCCCTACTCTGTGGGGTAAAAGGAAAACCCCATAAGAAGTGTAACAGTGTGCAGCATGGTGAATCTGTCTTTGCTGCCTGTTGTATTTGAAAAGCAGTGTTTTTTAACAGCCTAAGTTGTATGGTAATAACAATAAGCTTGTCTTCTGGATGGTTAACAACCTAAGTTTGCAGACCAAAATTAGATGAAAGGAGGGCTGCAAAGAAAGCCAACATTTTGGCCCTCGCTTTCCAAGGTCAATTAAGACTCAGGACATATGAGAACTTGTACTGTAACATCATGTAACCTGGCAGTGTCCCAAATTTTCTGATCAAGGAGATTATGGGGCCAAAGAGGAAAGTGATCAATGATGTAGAGTGTGCCTAAGGAGA